CATTGCCGTCTTCATGTAGACACGGGCAAAAGCACAGAGAAAGGAAAGCGTTTTCAAATTTAGCTGGCTTTCCGTAGCCTACTCTCACACTCGCTCGTTCGCCCCCACCGTCACCACCCAACCCTCCCTCCCGGAGCCTCTGTAACCTCCCCCTCACCTCTCCTCGCTTCCCCTTCACTCACCCACCCACCCACGCTCCATCACCCCACCGTCCACCTCTCACCCCACCACTCTTGCAATCGTTGTGCTCCTCTTCTCTTTTCTCCTCTCCTCCCCTCCACCCACACTCTCTCTTTTTCCTCCGAGCCCCCAGCAGTACCACCATCACTACCAGCACCATCATCTCACTCTCTCTCTCTCTTTCTCTCTCCTGTCCTTTACCACTTTCTTCCCTCTGTCCCTCCCTCCTCTAAAGCCTTCAGGCACTGCTTGATTTATGCTTGCCCTCCCTATCCACCTCCCCACCACCACCCACCCACCCACCCATCCTTCCCTATCTCTCCTGGAGGTTGTGGCCCGGTTAGTCCCTAAAAACAACAGAGAAAGAAAGCAACAGCGAGAGAGAGAGAGAGGATAACAACCTCTTTTACTTTCCATCCTCCCTCCTTTTTAACCCAGCATTTTTTTCATTCTCCTCTCCCACACTGCTTTTTAAATTGCCTCTGAATTCTTGAGCTGTTTTAGTGCCTCACTCCCCCTTCTTAGCTGAAATTACTTTTTTACCCTCTCAAACTCTGGCATGCTGAGGAAGCAAGTTCCACCTTCCCTCCCCTCTTTGTCCACTCGAGGACAAACAGGCACTAATCACAGGTTCAGCGTACGGAACTGTTTGTAATAAAAGGTGAAGGAGAGACTTTCATTTTCTCATTTGGAAGCTTGACGCTGTGACGGCGGCGCGCGTGTTGCTCACAGTCTTCTGAGCAACACGGCTCTTGTAATGCCTTGTCCTTTTCAACCTCAGGCTGGTCAAGCCATTAACTGGGCCGACTTGGGGCAAGGCTTCTTTCTGTATCCTCCGCTGTCTCTCACGCACACATGCGCACATATATGCATGGAGAGATACACATTGAGAGAGTCTTTCTCCTTTGTTTGCACTCTCTCATACTCAAACATGCACACAAGCCCTACTTTCTTCTCTGACAGCTCTCTTGTGGTCGTCAAGCCTCAGTAACTCGTTGCTTAACCACCCTGGACTTTTTCTCTCCATTGTGTTTGGTTACTGTCTCTGTTGATTTGAAGGCGGGGTGAGTTATGTGAGTGTGTGTTTGTGACTCGAGGTGTTGAAGGAGCGTGTCCATCATTAGCCAGGTCATGTGCGCTTGAGTGCGAAACCTGTAGAAATCTTTTTGGGGGAGTTTTGTGCCTTTTTTTTTTTTTTTTTTTTTTTTTTTTTTTTTAAATCTATTAGAATCTTTATATTTGGAAAATGGAAACTCCCTCCCAAAACAGTGTCAGGCTTCATTTAGAGAAGAGGGAGGCATTTGTAGCGAGAAACACACACAAACACCCACCCGCACACACACAATCAGAACAGAAGATCAGAGGTCAAACTGGGTCACCCGACCCTTCCCTCCCTTTTCAGGCCTTCTCTCTCCTCCTTTTTACTGCGTCGTAGCGTGCTCTCTAGTAACACAACTCCCCTTGTGAAACACACACACACACATATCACTTAGATACAGTGCAGCCTCCAACCACAGCGCATAAAACTCTATCTTCTATCCATTAGCCGTAACTCGCTCAATGGATGATAAATTCAGGATTCCTCATAACACATTTGAAGTATAGTTCAGTGCACACCTATTTTATTTCCAAGGCAAGTCTTATTCCTCCTTTGCTTTTTCCCACTCAAGCCCCCTGCATAGCTTGCAGCATCGCTCATGCGCGCGCACACGCACCCAAAACACACACATGAACAAAGAGAACCCACCATTTCCACATATTTGTCTCTCTTTTTAAAAGGGGGTTTTATTTAGCATAAATGTTGAAGCCAAGGGTGCCCGGCTACCATGGCAACCAAATTAAACGGAAGATCTCTTCAGAAAGCAGAAATCTAAATTATTCGGACTCTTTTATGAAGGGGAAAATGAAAATTCCCTTCACTGTACAGAGACCGCTGCACTGTAAAGGCAGAAGAAAAGAGGAGGGGGAAAAAAAGACAAGGAAAATGCTATTGTTTTTTTTTTTGTATCTGACCACGCAGTTCAAAGCCATATTCCACGCCATTGAAATTCATAGGTTGCCTCATGACAACCGGTACGTTAACACTCAGCATATGTGCACAAAGGAATGATGTAACCACAGTGTCTCTAAAACTCGGGATAAACCTATTGCCTTTGAAAGATACCACAATATGTGTATCTACAAATCCTCAACCAAACCCGGCACATGTATGATGAAATCCATAAGCTGCGCGCATGGGATTAGGTGCGACTGGTTCTGGTGTGGTAAATGATTTTATCTGTAAGAACAGGATGAGGTTTAAGTAAGACAGCATCTACGCAGGCCCGATAAAGCTTACATAAGTAAAGGCGGATTATACCGTATATTGCGATTATTTAGCGAGGAAGCCTGTTTGCGATCAGCTGAATACTAATTTCTAATATCTCCTGCTTAGTCCCGGATATGTGGGTATATCCTCAGAAAAACAGGATATGGCACTGCATGTTGCAGGCAAGGGAAAGTGGCTCACTAATGCATCAAATACAAAAATTCATTTCACACATTTTTCTGTGCAAGACAGAAGTTAGACCGGCATCTGCAAGGAGACCATGAAGCAATCACTCTTCCATAACCCTTCCATTCAATCTACAATGTGTGACTGAAGGATTGTTACTGTATGACTGTAAGGAGTGCGGATATGTTCCATCTGTAGATGCACGTGTCTAAGGGGATGCTGGGAAACCGTTCTGGGGTCATTCACTCACCCAATGAACAGATGAGTGGAAGGAGATAGGGGTCAGAGATGACCCTCTTTTCCCTCTCTCCTTCCATTTGTCTGCCTCTTCTTTCTCCATATATGTGTGTATTTGTGCAAGTGTGTGTGTGTGTCTGCTGTTGTTGGCCAACAGCAGATCCATGTTATTGATTGACTCCTGTGGCTGCTGGGCTGCCCACTGAAGGAGGGGGCAGAGCTCTAATGAATTCCTGCACCTCATGCCCTGTGCGCCAACCCCTACACCCCCTCCTTAATTAACTTTGTGTGTGTGTGCGGGTGGGACGGGGGTGTGCGTGGATGCACGCACGTGTGTCTTGTGTGTATCATCTGTGCTTCCTCCACAGCTCAACACCCCCGCTTTTACACTCCCTTGCCTTTTTTATTCCTTTATCTCTTTCTACGCTGCCCATGCCTCCTCTTTTTTTTCCTCTTTACTCCCCCTACCCTTATTTTTTTTAATATCTTGTGATACGTTAGCTAGCCGTTTGATGACTACTGATTACTTCGTATGTATGTCACTCTCATCTGAGGCGGCCCATCCTCAATATCTCACTCATATCTCTCTACACCTTTCAGATCTATATGTGCAGCCATGCATACAGAACGTGTATCCATCCATCTGATCTGGGATCATTTATCTATCCCGAGCATGAAAAATGACTGACAGTTTCCCTGTGTCTGTGTGTGAGAGAGGGAGAGAGAGAGGGTGGTCAGCATTGACCTAGTAAGCTGAGAAAAAGCTGTATACCCATCGGTATTCCAGACGTGGAGCCAAACTACTGTCTTTGTCACCTTGACTCCCCTGCAGCAGACGGCCACCAGGCTGCACAGGAAACACTTAACACTGCCCAACTGTAGTTAAAATGAACAATAGGGCTATTTTGTTTTCTTGCTTCCATTAAATTTTTTCATGTTTTCTTTCCTCTTTTGCTTCCCCACCCGTTTCTGTTCTCAGTGCCCCCGCATCACCCTAGTTACTGTCCTCACTCTGTTTATTCCCCATTAGCTCTGAGTGTGATTTCAGCTGTCGCTGCATGGGCGCTGTGCAACGGTAAACTTATATATTAGGATGTCAGAAGGTTTCTGTCCAGAACAGTCACACATAATTATGTACACACACCCCTCTCCTTAAGGCAAGACTCAAGTCTGCATTAGCTCTCAGAAGTCTCTGTGTTTGTTTTAGATGTAGACAAGCCATTCTTTCAAAGACTCTAAGCCAGTGATGTGCCTGGTGTGTATTTTTGTCTACTTCTTTGTTGGAGAAAGCAACCTGTCATCAGCTAAATGTCAATTAGGAGGTAATAAAAGTGTGTTTGTGTCTGTATTTGTGTGTGTTTTTGTTTGCGTGTGTGTGTGTGCTGAGCAGAGCTGTCGTCAGCAGTGTGGTCTGACAGTCTTGTAGATCTACAGTGGAACCTCCAGCGACATGTCTACTGCTGACAGCTTCTCTCTGCTTTCAACGAGTCTGATGGCTAAATGCACACACGCGCACACACACACACACTCAAGCACACACGCTCACAGGCATAGCGCATAAACACGCGCGCACACATGGATCACGTCTGTGTCTGCCATTCGGTCTCACACTGTCTCTTTATGATCTCTCTGTATTTTTGTTGACTGGTGATGATGAGGTATGTTAGGGAGTCGAGGAGAGCGAGGGATGAATCAGAGTGGTGACGTGTTGGTAGTCGCTACCAAAAACACTGGGTGTAAACGATGACTTGGCTGAGAGGGTTGAAAGGATTGGTTTAATATGGTGTTTTTTTGTGCTTTCACTCAGGCTGTTATCACTGTCAGGTGAAACCTAAAAGTGTCAACTTTTTTTCTTGTTTTTTGTAGTTTGGCCATCGCTGTTTATCCCCTTTGGAGATGTTTCACAGTGTCAAAAGTGATGGAATTTTCATCCTATAGAGAAACATATAATCCCTCAAATATATTAAAACAGTGCTTCAGTGATTTAAAACACCAGCTTGAGCTTGAATAGCATTTTAATGTCACTCATTTTTAGTTGTATAAGGACACAAGAACCTCACCCGTCTTCTGTTACTTCATCTCTATTCAGGGGCAGACGTGACTGAACCCAACAGCTCAGACAGCCGTGGCGAACGCCTCGACTTCTTCCTCAAACAGGAAGAGCCTCTTGCCACAGAGCCCAGCTTCCTGGGCACCAACGAATTGGAGGAGGCCGGGGGAGGAGCCGGGGGTGGAACAATCTCATCTGTAGCCAATCTGAAGGCAGCGCTGATGAGTAAGAACAGCCTGCTGTCACTGCGGGCTGAGATGATGGGAGATGATAACCCCTTGTTGTATGAGTACCTGCCCAAAGGAGGACACTCCCTGTCTTGTAAGTCACTATTTACTAACACTGCACTCACCCTGATTGTTATACACATACACACACACACACACACACACACCTCAATATAACTTAGACATACACAAATTTTCTACTACTTTATCTTTGACTACCTGCTTACGTAGTCACCTGCGATACATAAAACATACAGGCGTGACTGCTTCTGGCATGCGCCTCCTCTGTTGTAGTACTTTCCCTCATCAGCCACTGTTATCTGGATAACTCTGAATCCCTGTGTGTGCAATTGTGTGTGCATATTGGTGCACGCGTGTATGTGTGTGTGTGCGTGTGTG